GACACGTCGCGCAACTTTTACTCGGTCGAGTCGCTCAAGCGCATCATCCGCACCATGGGGGGCAACAAGCTCAACACGTTCCACTGGCACGTGTCCGACACCAACTCGTACCCGTTCCAGTCCAAGGTGTTCCCCAACATCACCAACTACGGCGCGTCCACCGCCAAGCAGATCTACACCCACGACGAGATCCGCGACATTGTCAAGTACGCCAAGGGCTTTGGCGTGCGCGTGGTGCCCGAGCTGGACGCGCCTGCGCACGTCGGTGCTGGCTGGGAGTGGGGTCCCGACGCCGGATTGGGCGAATTGGTGCTGTGCTACGGCGCCAACCCGTGGTTCGACTCGTGCGTGCAGCCCCCTTGCGGCCAGCTCAACCCGCTCAACGACAACGTGTACAAGATCTTGGAAGGGTTGCACAACGAATGGCTGAGCTTGTTCGACTCGGACGTGTTCCACATGGGCGGGGACGAAGTGCACGTCGGCTGCTGGAACCAATCGGCGGCCGTGTACCCGTTCGTGAAGGACCGCAACGACCCCAAGAGCTTTTTCCACTTGTGGGGCGAGTTCCAAGTGCGCAGCGCCAAGGTGATCGAGAAGGCGCAGAAGAAGGTCATGCTGTGGAGCTCCGACTTGACCACCCCCGACTTTTACAAGTACCTCCCCACCAACAACACGATCGTGCACATTTGGAGCGACTACGCCGGTGGTGACACGAAGCGCCTCACGGACGCCGGGTACGAAGTCGTCCTGTCTTACTGGGACGCGCACTACTTGGACTGCGGCTTCGGCGGGTGGGTCAACAAGGGCAACGGCTGGTGCAACCCGTACAAGACGTGGCAAGTGATCTACGACACGGACATTGTGCCCAACGTCACGGCGGCCAACCAGAAGCTCGTGCTCGGGGCGCAGGTGGCCCTCTGGGCTGAGATGGCCGACGGTTTGTCTGGTGACTTCAAGATCTGGCCCCGTGCGTCGGCGCTGGCCGAGCGCTTGTGGTCCAACCCCAAGACCACGTGGAAGGACGCCATGTCCCGCTACCGCACCCACCGCGACCGCCTCGTCCAAACCGGCGTCGCCATGGCCCCCGTGCACCCCGAATGGTGCCGCCAAAACCCCACCGAGTGCAACTTGCTTTAAGTCGCATATTGGAGTTGTATGAGCTGGCCCCGTCTGTAGGAAGCTAGTGTAAATGCGTGTAATGAGAGAAGCCTATTGTGTGTACGTCCTTGTGTTGCCGTCGGCGATGTTTTCTAGGTGCAATAACGTTGCTTACTTTCACAGTTTACATCGTGTATGTAGAGCTGTAGTGACAAGTCTTGGATGGGGGGGATTCATTCAATGTCGAAAGTATAGAGTGGTGTGTGCCAGAGTTGTCTTGCGGTCGATACGAAGGACTGTATTTCGTAGACTGGTACCAAAGGAGTCTAAGTCATTCGAGTTGTATTGCAGTTAATGATTAGAATCGACCCTAAATTATTCCCCTCAACGAACTGCAATCAG